TATGGAAAGCCCCCCCCCCCTCACCTTTGATTATATGGCAAGCCCTTCCCCCTCACCTTTGAGCATATAGCAAGGCCCCCTCCCCTCACCTTTGAGTATATGGCAAGCCCCCTCACCTTTGAGAATATGGTGACCCCCCCCCCCCTCACCTTTGAGTATATTGCAAGCCCTCCCCCCTCAGCTTTGAGTGTATAACAAGCCACCCCCCCCCCCCCACCCCACCCCACTCTATGAGTATATGGAAAGACCCATCCCCTTCTTACGCATTTGGCAAGACCCCTACGGCTCTTTGAGTATATGGCAAGACCTCCACGCAACCCTTTCCCCACCTGACTATACAACAAGACCCCCACGCAATCCTTCCCCCCCCCCCTGACTATATAACAAGACCCCCACGCAACCCTTCCCCCACCTGACTATATAACAAGACCTCCACGCAACCCTTCCCCCCCCCTGACTATATATAACAAGACCTCCACGCAACCCTTCCCCCCCCCCCTGACTATATAACAAGACCTCCACGCAACCCTTTCCCCCCCCCCCCCCCCCCTGACTATATAACAAGACCTCCACGCAACCCTTCCCCCACCTGACTATATAACAAGACCTCCACGCAACCCTTCCCCCACCTGACTATATAACAAGACCTCCACGCAACCCTTCCCCCACCTGACTATATAACAAGACCTCCACGCAACCCTTCCCCCACCTGACTATATAACAAGACCTCCACGCAACCCTTCCCCCACCTGACTATATAACAAGACCTCCACGCAACCCTTCCCCCCCCCCTGACTATATAACAAGACCTCCACGCAACCCTTCCCCCCCCCCCCCTGACTATATAACAAGACCTCCACGCAACCCTTTCCCCCCCCCCTGACTATATAACAAGACCTCCACGCAACCCTTCCCCCACCTGACTATATAACAAGACCTCCATGCAACCCTTCCCCCACCTGACTATATAACAAGACCTCCACGCAACCCTTCCCCCACCTGACTATATAACAAGACCTCCACGCAACCCTTCCCCCACCTGACTATATAACAAGACCTCCACGCAACCCTTCCCCCACCTGACTATATAACAAGACCTCCACGCAACCCTTCCCCCCCCCCCTGACTATATAACAAGACCTCCACGCAACCCTTCCCCCACCTGACTATATAACAAGACCCCCACGCCCGCTAGTGTATATGGCAAGGCCCCCACCCTATGCCCCACGTAAGTATATGACAAGGCCCCTCCCCCTCCCCCACCCGCCCTTGAGTATATGGCAAGACCCCTAAGGCTCCCAACGCTCCCTCCCGCTCCCTATCAAAACAACAAAACAAAATGTGGTTAAAAAGAGGAGCAGAATGAAGAGTTCGCAGCAAGTGAAACACAACAGTTAGAGATACGTTTTGGTCAGAATGTGTTTTAAATTAAACTATAAATTCCTCTGTTATCATTTTAATTAGAATATTTTTTTTTTTTAATTTCGATATGAAAAAAAAATATGCTTATCAAAACACACAAAAAATGTCCGTGGCTTTCTGTTTTATAAATTGTTCTCAAAATGTCTCATTATTTTATTTATCATCAAAGATTTTAAAAAAAATTTATAACTCATTATTACAAATGGACTCAGATTTAAAATCGTTTGACGTCTCCTGTGAAACGCCTTCGTCCCCCCCCCCCCCCCCCTTTTTCCCCCGCCTCCAGGTTGAAGACCACTGCTGTAAATGTAGATATTAATTGTTATTTATTAGGACATTGTTCGCTGCTTAATGTTTACATTCATGATGTTTTTGTCTTCTTATTCATTAAGAACAATACTCGTTGTCGGCGACCCCGTGTCCCTGGTCATCAAAATGTTTGACAAAAAGGGCAGGCCAAGATTAAAAGGGGGAGACAGGCTTAAAGTCTGGTTGAAGGATGTGAAATTTCAACACAGTATTAGTGCCAACATTACCGATTTCAACAATGGGACCTACCTGGCAACAACAGTACTCCCATGGGCGGGATCTGTACGGTAAGTGTCTTGCACTTAATATTAACAGTAAACATAACAATTGAGGTTTGTATTTTTAAAAAAAAAAGTGTATGGTTTTTAATTTTACCCTCTTCTCAAGTGGATTTCTAGCCCTATTTGGCAGGGGAAGGGGCGGGTAGTGTATGGGTGGGGAAGGGGCGGGTAGTGGGTGGGTGGTGGAGGGGAATAGACTCCCTGCCCCCTAACAAGCATGTCGTCGAAGGCAACTAATTAGTCTGCTGAGAGGCGAGGAATCGACAGTCGGCTTACAAATAAGCCAAATCTGTAAAAGCCCAACCAGAACGTTACAGCTGATTAAGGCTAAGACGACGAATTTAATTATCCACTAATAGTGTGTTTACAAAATATGAGTTAGTTAGTTTGCTAAGGAAAATAGTTTTGCCCTGACAAACACGCTGAGTGACTTCAATAAAAGCATATAAAAATATATTTAAGTTCTGTTGTTATGAATGCTAAGCAAGCTAAATAAATCTAATATACATTCCCATCTACAGAGTTATGGCCACTTTAAGACAGTCAAGAGAATTCTTCAGAGCACTGGCTTACGTGCACAGAACTGTTAAAGGCACCATACCGTTTATAGGCGCTTACAATAATTCTAAGGTATTTATTCTGAAACTGATTCAACATTTGATATGTGGAGAAAAATAGAAAATCTCTGTACACTTGTTCAGCGATGAGAATTTTTTAAATATTTTTGTTGGACATCTTCATTTCATCAATCCATTTGTTTAATTTGCAGTGACTACATTTCGATTCTCCTTCTGTTTCTCTCCTGGATGTGCCAAGTACCGCCATCTTATTTATCGTATAGATGGTAATACTAGGGTTGTTCACACATTTCTCTCATGTCTTCTGCCTTTCTTGCATGTATCTCATTTTATCTTCACAACAATTGTTTTCGAATTTTATTACCTTCCATTTTGTACTTCACCAACAAGGGAATATATGCTTAAGAGTGACTTTATTAATATCTTACCCCAAACAGGGGAAATTCTCAGGTCACGGGACAGTCTAATATTTCAGTGGGTGGTAGATAGGCTGCATGCAGTTGTGGGACCTAGGCTGCATGCAGTCGTGGGACCTAGGCTGCACTCTCTCGTGGAACGTAGGTGGGTTGGGGTTAGGGTCAGTTCTAGATGTTTTGGGGTCGTTAAAAGCAGCAAAAAGCCAGGAAACCTAGTCTTACCACCCTCTAAAATGATAGACTTTCCTATGACGTCATCTGGGTCAGATATTAATACAAAAAAAAATTTAAACATTTAAAATTTAAAATTAAGCAAATGGGTATTTTGTGTTTCCACTCATTGTCAACTAGATATTGCCTGGAAGATGAAACGCAGAGAAATGTAGACAAAAAAATTAACGATCTGTATTTTCATGTCAGCCTGCATATAGTAATATCTTCTCTCTGTATTATTTGCATTCACTTTCCTCTGGTACATATCATTGCTGTTCGTCTATTAACAATATTATGTGCACAAGACAGGTATACGTTGTTAAGCTCCTTATTTCAAATGATGTTTCCCTGCTATTTGTTACAGTCTCTTTTCTATTTCTCAGCAGGATATTTAAAAGAAGAAATGTTATTACTGTCTGCCTGTACTTGCCATTTTCAGAACGGTATATGAGCTGGGAGGGGAGTCACCGTGGTTTAGCGGCTAGACGCTCGCCAAACGATCGCAAGGTCGTGGGTTCGCTTCCTGACAAGGGCCGGATTTGTTTTAAAAAAAAATGACCTTGGCTCCCAGGTGGACCCAACCTTGAGTGTGTAGCAGGAACACTCCTGGGAAGTAAAAGCGACCGACATGATGCTGGCCACATCACCCACCACGTGTCGTTTGGTCTATAAAATATAGGTCTAGCCCTATATACCCAGTGAGCATAAAACGCGTGGAAAAGGGTCATTTACTTTACTTTATATGAGTTGGTGAGGGGCATGGGGGGGGGGGGGGGTGAGAGGTGGTTGTGAATGTGCAGAATTAAGGCTTTATGGCTAGTGCAGTTGTCCCTAATTGTGCAATAAGTGATGAGACCACGTTGCTCTAATAATCAGAAAGTCAATCTTGTGATATCCTTGCAATTAACATTATTGCGACGTGCTCACGTCTTTTTCTGCTTCTTCGGAAATCCCGTAATACATCCCTTGCTTTATCTTACATCCCCAATGTTATCATGATCATGTTTTAAAATATCTGTCATATGTCTGGTAATCAAATGTGGGCGGTGTTTCACGATTTGATCGTACGGCAAAGTCTAATATTGCCGACAAGATTGGGCGGAAAGGGTTTAAATGCACGCTGTTAGTTGCCCCGCCCATCTACGCATAGGGACCAAAAGTCTCATTGTCATTTGTCCAACTGTTTGTCAGAAAAGACTCAAATGTTCTACCGTAAATTGACCTACTTACTGAATGACAGAAAGGTCCAGATGTCCGCTACCATAGACCTCACTCGTAAGAGTGTCGCGACCAACTGGAGAAGCTATGACGGATGCTTGTTTTTCCTAAACTACCACACACGGAGTCCCATTGCAACTAGATTAAACGTGTCTAACGTGTTGAAGAAGATTGTTCTCGTTTGTGTGGTCGTCGAGGTCCTGGGCGTGTGGGCTGCTCTCTGTTGATCTCCAGAAGGTGCATCCCGTGTTGAGTGAGAAGCTCAACATACCGATCTGAGGTTAAGCTTTAATGTGCTCAATGCAGCTTCATCTTCTTTGACGTTAAACCGTTGACGACAGTGTTTGCCCTGATTTTTTCTTCTATTTTTTTTTTTTTTTTTTTGCATTTAATGTTCAGCAGTTTCTTTTGGTATATGTTTTATAACGGATTTAACTTTCGTTCCATATTTTTAATAATTCTTCAACTTTCATTGTTATGTTATTCTGTAATGATAATACCATTCTGTAATGATACTTTTGTTTCTCACTGGTAAATAACAAAATGTCTTGTCTGTCACACAGGCCAACGAAAGTGTCCCTTGTAGCCCATTTCCCATAGTACCTGGCTATCAAAAGTCCGAGTTGTGTAATCTGACTTTACAAAACGGCTCTCCCTGGTTTTGCGGTCGACCAAGGAAACAGGAGCTAACATGTTCAGATTATCAACGTGTTAGTTACTGGACAAAATGCATCGCTATGCCAATTACAACAGCTGAAGATGTATTACTAAAACAACGAACCGGCCAGTAAGTAATACAAGCACTATACTTTCTTGTGTTTGGTTTAGTGCTCTAATAATTTAGCAAAATGCAATGCTACACGTGTCAAATATAAACATGTGCCTGAACTAATAAACGAAGAATCATAACGGAAACGAGAAACAATAGCAGAGCTGCGGGTTAAAGGCTGGTTGCGTATCCTTTACAGGACGTTGCAGAACGAATCCTAACATCCCCTGGCCGTTGCGTGGTTTTTCTAGGCAAATTTACGTCCAGTAGTTTGCCATTGCTTTCTGGACAGTCCGCTTTCTTGATACCACTGTCGAAACCGACGCAAGGCGCACGGCCTGCAGCTGGGATCGAACCCGGCATTCCGGCATTACGAAGCGTTCGCATCGACTTAGCCACAGAAAAGCTGCGGGAGAAACGAGAAAATAAAAATGTAACAAAATACCTCTCTCTCTCTCTCTCTCTCTCTCTCTCTCTCTTTCTCTCTCTCTCTCTCTCTCTCTCTCTCTCTCTCTTTCTCTCTCTCTCTCTCTCTCTCTCTCTCTCTCTCTCTCTCTCTCTCTTTCTCTCTCTCCCAGTTTTAAAAAAAAAATTTGGAAAAAACATGTCTTGAAATTAGTTACACAGCTCGTTGAACATCAACAGATCAAATCTTTTGGCCAACCGACGAGAATGCTCTGGTACTAAATGCCACACCGCGCTAAAAAAAATATAATACATTTAGAGAAAGAGTAAAAATACGCTAAATATGGAATGATGCCATCAAGAACAGTCTCAAAGAAATGAAGATCAACGTCTGCAATGTATTAGAAAGAGCCCGCAGAAGATCTGACATCTTTCGACACCTTGCCCAACACCTAGAATTGGTAACTGGAGAGAGACAAAAAGAAAAAGAAGCTTTCTTGGCCTGGGGCTATCTAATATTAGAATTGTTTGTTGTTGTTTGTTTTAGTATCCAGAAACCTTGAGTTGTTAACCCTTAGGCTCGGTATTATGGATATCGCAACCTTTCGGCCTTGATTCCATTGTAAATACCGTAAATCTGGGAGAAAATGTGGCTTTTCTGCCTACCCCCGGGAGTGAACCCGGACCACAAGGAGTTCGTCACCCGGTCACCGCGCAATCCGGTTTAGCCAACTACGCTAGAGAGTTGGATGTGTTTAGTATTAAATGCATTGGTGATCTTGTTTAAGTTTTACGCCTCTAATTTTGACATCTAGTTTATTTTTTTCTCAAGATCTATCGTACACTAAAATGTGGCTATGTATGGCATCACCATCATCATTAACATCATCGTCATCATCCCGATCAACATCATCATGTGGTGCCGTTTGTAGTCACACTTTGCTCGCAGTTTATTGTTTCCGTGCCGTTGTTTCGTTATATTTTGGGACACGATTGGGGGCGTTGCTGTATTTGTTGGAACTTTCCCTCCCACCCCCCCCCTCCCCACCCCAACCCGTTTTGTGTGTGTATGTGTGTTTGTGTGTGTGTGTGTTTGTGTGTGTGCTGAAAGCGATGCCTGGAGTGACATTCTGTACCGTCACTAACAGATTGGACTCCATCTAGAATTTTATTTAATTAGTTAATTACAAGATGATCTTCATGCCGTAAAGCGTACTTCTACCGTAAAGCGTCATGGGTAGGAACAATTTGCGATCCTATGCTTGCTGACTGGCACAGGCTATCGTCATGCCTTGAAGGCGTAAAATAGCTGTAATGTTGTCGATCCATATTTTCGTCGCCGCCCTCTTGCTCTAGTAGCTGATCATCTGAGATGTAATACCTTGCTGCATTTTAACGAGATTGCCAAACGACTTGATCTGCTGTTTGTCTACTGTAACTGTCTTGTATCGCCTGTGAGAATCGGGTGGAGCAGAAATAAGCGGTTGACATACTTTTGTACTGCATGTGTTCTGTGCCATTACTTACAAAATACTGGTGTTGTTTTTTAAGTGTTGGGTGAAATCCGCAGCGATGAATCTTAAGGGCTGGGACTACTGAAGAAAGAAAGAAATACTTTTTTTTCCCCCAATATTATCTTTTTTCTTTATCCCACAGAAGGACTTTCTTGATTGGGAATATTATCTTAAAAGTTGAAGCAAGTAAGTAACCGATAAAAAATATATTCTTATCATAAATTAATTTACACTTTGATAGAAAAGGGTCGGAGCCTGACTTTTTGTTGTTTTAGAAAAACAAATTATCTCGACTTTCTGGTCGACTAAATTGTGTACCTTGTTAAAAAGTGTGTGTGTGTGTGTGTGTGTGTGTGTGCGTGCGTGTGTGTGTGTGTGTGTGTGTGGGGTAGGGGTATGTTTTGACAGGGAGTAACCTGAGTAACCTGGCACAACATATCACCTTTTCCTGTATGCTCTGGTTATAAATCTATCCCTCGTGATGATGATTTTGCATCTTTTTGAATAGGAGGACCAACTCCTACATCTTCACTAGGGTTCTTGTCCGTCTTGCTGAAATAGTACTTACTCTTGATTCTTTTGAGTTTAACGGCAAGTATTTTGACCAAACTACTGGTGTCGCGATGGGTACCAAAATGGGTCCCATTTGCACATGACATTTTTTAGGTTTTCTCGAATGTTAGGTTTGGTCTGTATGCACAGGTAAACCTGGCGTGTACAGGAGGTACACAGATGACGGTGTTGGTATTGCTAAAATGTCAGGAGATGAACTCGACCAATTCATTAATTTTATTAGAAACTCAATCCCACCATTCAGTTCACCTCTTAGATTTCCAACACCTTCGTGAATTTCTTAGACATCTACTTTTCTGTTTTAACCACCTGTGTCTATTGTAAACCTACTGATTCTCATAACTATTTTCTCTATACATTCTCTCACCTATTCTCGACTGTCTCCGATCCAAAAACAATTCCTTTTGGTACTACCAAATGCTCCTGTACAGGATGTGAAACGTGTCCGTTTGTGATCCAAACCCCTTCCGTCTGCTTCCCGAGGAGTTTATTTTACATTAGAGAAGCATTCGCTTGTGAATCGCATAAACCAATTTATGCCATCATCTGCAGCAGATGTAAAAAGACCTACATTGGAAAAAGCGGAAGAAAGCTAGCAGATTGCTTCCTTGATCATCTTGCTGACATTCGCAAAAATGTTCTCAAACCTATCTCCCTCCATTTTAACAGTTCTGACCATAAAGATAGTCTCTGTTCTCGTCCCCAACACTAAAGGTGAAATTTAGTTTCACAAGACTGTCTGACCCTAATGTATTCTGTAATCTCTGTTCTCGTCCCCAACACTAAAGGTGAAATTTAGTTTCACAAGACTGTCTGACCCTAACGTATTCTGTAGTCTCTGTTCTCGTCTCCAACACTAAAAGTGAAATCTAGTTTCAAACAACTGTCTGACCCTAACGTATTCTGTAGTCTCTGTTCTCGTCGCCAACACTAAAGGTGAAATCTAGTTTCACACAACTGTCTGACCCTAATGTATTCTGTAGTCTCTGTTCTCGTCTCCAACACTAAAGGTGAAATCTAGTTTCACAAGACTGTCTGACCCTAATGTATTCTGTAATCTCTGTTCTCGTCTCCAACACTAAAGGTGAAATCTAGTTTCACAAGACTGTCTGACCCTAATGTATTCTGTAGTCTCTGTTCTCATCCCCAACACTAAAGGTGAAATCTAGTTTTACAAGACTGTCTGACCCTAATGTATTCTGTAGTCTCTGTTCTCGTCTCCAACACTAAAGGTGAAATCTAGTTTCACAAGACTGTCTGACCCTAATGTATTCTGTAGTCTCTGTTCTCGTCTCCAACACTAAAGGTGAAATCTAGTTTCACACAACTGTCTGACCCTAATGTATTCTGTAGTCTCTGTTCTCGTCTCCAACACTAAAGGTGAAATCTAGTTTCACAAGACTGTCTGACCCTAATGTATTCTGTAGTCTCTGTTCTCGTCTCCAACACTAAAGGTGAAATCTAGTTTTACAAGACTGTCTGACCCTAATGTATTCTGTAGTCTCTGTTCTCGTCTCCAACACTAAAAGTGAAATCTTGTTTTACAAGACTGTCTGACCCTAATGTATTCTGTAGTCTCTGTTCTCGTCCCCAACACTAAAGGTGAAATCTAGTTTCACACAACTGTCTGACCCTAATGTATTATGTAGTCTCTGTTCTCGTCTCCAACACTAAAAGTGAAATCTAGTTTCACACAACTGTCTGACCCTAATGTATTATGTAGTCTCTGTTCTCGTCTCCAACACTAAAAGAGAAATCTAGTTTCACAAGACTGTCTGACCCTAATGTATTCTGTAGTCTCTGTTCTCGTCTCCAACACTAAAGGGAAAATCTTGTTTCACAAGACTGTCTGACCCTAATGTATTCTGTAGTCTCTGTTCCTAATGTATTCTGTCTCTCTGTTCTCATCCCCAACACTAAAGGGAAAATCTTGTTTCACAAGACTGTCTCTGAACACCTAATGTTGCGTTGTGTTCTTCATCTCTTGTTACTTTGTTTTTTAGTGTCTGTAACTGCCACCTGGCTTCTAGTGCTGCCTGATACTATGGGACTGATCGTCGACTCTAACATCTTACAGTGTTCCTACCTAATGTGTCTCTGTTAACCATGGATCCAGGTATCTTGTGTGTCGTCTCTGTAGTTCGATATCTTGTTTCATGTCTGCTCTGTCTTCGAGGCTAAATATGACTGGCTCCTCTCCCTCTAGGGTTGAGTTGGCATCTCCAAAACTACGAGGATCATTGAGACTTGTTGCTCGTCCTCTGAATCTCAACGAATAAAGGCATTCTTTGAGTTAGGCTGACATCTCCATGACAGAAGGCTGCCTTGAGAGTACATGTGACTGGTCTCTCCTCTCTTGAGTCTTGTGGACTGAAGAATTGTCCTGAGGGCTTTGTTACTCGTTATTTATACTTAGATGCTGGAATCCTAGTTATTTGTTTTCTTCTCACTTTTTCTGCTTCTAGAATATTCTAGTACTCCTCAACTTGTTTACTATGTACGTTCTCACGTGGGATTTTCTAAAAATATCTCGATTGCATCGGATTTCATCATCCTATTCTACGCAGATATAGTAGTTAAACTGACAATTGACGTTAATAGACTCCTACAAAACAAGTGCTACTAGGTTCTCTCAAAAAGGTCAAGGCCAAAAATGACATCAAATACTATTTATAAAATATTGTTTCTAAAACTTGTTGACTTTCTTCTCATCAAAAACTATGCAAAATTCTATCTCTTAACAAACAGAGGAATGACGTCAATTTTCAGTTTTGGCGGGAAAAATTAAGGTTACCAAAACTTGTTGATCTCCTTACATCCTAGCTTTGTGCCTACTAAAAAACAAGCTATGACCCACTCTGTTACAAAGACTGTCTGACCCTAATGTATTCTGTAATCTCTTTTCTCGTCCCTAACACTGACAACGAAATCTAGTTTCACAAAACTGCCTGACTATAATGTACCTTGTAAATTTTTTTTTAACTGACAGCAAAGTCTGGTCTCACAAGACTACCAGACCCGAATGTTCCCTGCAATAAAGTGTCTCCAAGATCTACCTGGCATCAGTCGGAACCAACTGGATACTTTTACCACAAAGTCTGGAAATCGTTTTTGTGTTTTGTCCCTGACAAGGTGGAGCAGGTTGATGAGTCGTGTTTGAAGAACCTACACGTATGTAAAATAAAATAATGTTTTATATGATTCTTTTTTTGTATCTGTTTTTGAATTGTGTTCTTCTTGTTGTTCTTGTACCATGTGGCGTTGGTTGTCATGTCTTTACTGTAATAGGGTGGGAAAACTTACAGTTCAGCAGTCTGAAAATCTTGGATTTATTCTGGTTTGAAAATGGCCAACAGGCCAAAGGAGAAGCATTTCCAGTTATTAGTATCAGACGGAAGATGGGGGAAATCTGGTTCACTGGTTTTTTAAAGACCAGACTGACTCAGTTTCAGCCTATTTGACTTCCGAATGCTCCCTGGGGAGACATATCTAGCTGTTGCGCTTTGCACAATGGGCCAGTCAGCAGGTATGGCGACCTTAGGAAGGGGCCGTGGTCAGACTGATTTCGCAGCCGGTGGTAGTTCATTTGGTTAAGTTTGATGGTTAGCATTTTAGATTCTGGTCGAGCACGTTGTTGTCGTTAATGGGTTATTTGTGAAGTATACGGTAATTCTGTGTTATGTTGAGTGAATAAACAGGTGTTCAATGTAGTTCCAGTTTTCCTTCAGCTTAGGACTTGTAGTTAGTGTGCCTAGTTTAGTTTATTTGTTATTTGGCTGATCTAGACTTACACAGAAGATGTCTTGCCTGGGTGAGATATTATTGATCTCTTCCCCGCCTAAGCAAGCTTTTTTTCTTTCTTTTTTTCTTCTTGTTACTGGGGCAGCTTGAGGTTGGGTTGTGGCTCCCACTCGCCACAGACATTGTTTAGAGCTCTTGTAGGTTCGGAGTCGAGGAGATTTCAAGGAGTAGATTTCATTATTATCCTTTATAGTCATCTCCTCTTTCTTTTCCGCCATTAAAAGTTAACCCCCCTCTGTTTTGCTCCTAGTACATTACGCTCAGTCAATTCTAACACGGTTTCCTATATTCAGAAATGTCACACTGTCCAATATAATCTCTCTTTATCTCGTTTTGCCTCTTTCCTCCAGCTTTCCCGTTGTAACCACTCATCCTAGTTTTCCCCTGATGTCACAACTTTTACTATTATTTGTTTACTACAAGACGATGTTTACAAGCCCATCTCCCTGGATGTTCAGAACTTTATTTTTGTTTCTTAGTGACTGCGAAATAAATTTGAATGCATAAAAACTATTGGTAATAAGCTCTTCGTCATGTAATTTAATTTAAGACATGTTTTTAATCTTTCTATCGTGTTCTACACATTCGTCTACAAAACAGTATCTCTGCTGGTCCACAAAAGTATTCATACCTCCCTGTTTGTCTGTGATTCATTTCCAAACATCGTAACTGGCTCGATATAGCTCTTGATAAATTTTGTTCTCATCCACATCCGCAGAAGTTTATAATTAACTAACATATACTTGTGTCAAAGAGTCCGACTCGTAATCCAACGTACCGCGATCGAAACCCACTGCGGGCTGCGTGGATTTGTATCGTGGTATGGGACGTCGCAGGTCGACCCAGCCTCAAATGGGTACCAGGATGGCTGTCCTGGGGAAGTGAAGATGGCTGGCATAATCCTGACCACATTACCCACCGAGTGCCGATTGGTATGTAAAAACATTGGTGATCTTCCAATATGCCCGATGCGCCTAAAGGCGTGAAAAGGGATCTTTACTTTACTCTACCTACTTGTGTCAAAAAGATTTGTCTGTCGTTTCAGATGTTTTTCTACGGTGACTCCAATTCCAGAATGTTCTACGATAGAGTCAAGTCAAAGATGCAGTGCCAAGAAACTGTGTTTGCTGGAAATGCAAAACGCAAACAAGACCGGAAAATGTGCACAAACAAAACTCACAATACAACAATATTGTTCGTTTCTCATACAAGTCCGTACCACATTGGTGAGGTTAGTCTTTTTTACAACGGTGCTAAATGAAGAAAAAAAAAGGGGGCGGGGGAGAGAGAGAGAGAGAGAGAGAGAGAGAGAGAGAGAGAGAGAGAGAGAGAGAGAGAGAGAGAGAGAGAAGCTGCGATACACATATTTACGTGTGAAATCAACGTCCACACTCCTAATTCGTCGTCTTTTACAATCATACATTACTTATTAGGAGGTCGTAGATCTATTCTTCTCACCCAAGTATCGGGCCTTCTGAGCTCACACGAGTCTTGACTTGTTTATTACCAGGTAGTTGCTATTTCATGACTCTCTATTTTAAAATGTAATTAAATCGAAGTAAACATCCCTTTTCACGCCTTTAAGCGTATCGGGTATATGAGAAGAGCGCCCATATTTTACAGACCATCGGCACCCGGTGCGTAATATGGTTAGAATTACACCAGCCGTTTTCACTTGTCCAGGACAGCCATCCTGGTACCCATTTAAGGCTGGGTCGACCTGCAACGCCCCATACCATGATACAAATCCACGCATCCAGCAGTGGGTTTCGATCGTGGTACGTTGGAATTACGAGTCAGAAAGGAAGGAGGAGGGAAATTGACGCATAATTTGTGAACATAAGGGTGCAGATATTGCAGACTAGCTGTAAACCTCAATTCAACATGCCAAAATGCTTTTTAAGGCCAAATGCAGAAGACACTTTTGTCTTAGACACGCGTTGCTTATATCACGTTTGCATCCCAAAATAGGTGTTTTTTCCAGTATCCCATGGCAATATAAACTCTAGTGAATTAGTCACATTTACGATGGGTTTGACACATATGCAGAATGGGAGGGATACGGCCATCACGGTAGGAATGAGAGGTCAAGAACCAGGGGAAACGACCTTTAGGATAACCCAGGGTTCAGCGGGGACAGCCTCTAATGACTGGAATATAGCCAAAAGGAAAACTACTTCTTAATGCTTTCTATGGACGTCCTTTTTTTAGACCGTTTGCTTCCAATGTCAATGTCTCTTTTGTAATTCTTTGCTTATTTTGTCCCAAAGTGTGTCCAGTAAATCTCCACCCTTTTTTTTTTTTTTTGTCTTACTGCAGTCGATACAGGTATTTGTCCAGATATTTCTTTAATATCCTTAGTCTTTTTGCATTCATTCCATTTTGTATTCCTGATTTTTCTAAGACATTTTTTTTTACTAATGCATTTAATTTTGTTCCATATCTTTGATGGTTCTCCAACTTTTGCTGTATAAGTTAGAATTGAAATAACGTTAGAATTGAAATAACGTTAGAATTGAAAAAAGTTAAAATTGAAATAACGTTAGAATTGAAATAACGTTAGAATTGAAATAAAGTTCGAATTGAAATAACATTAGAATTGAAATAACGTTAGAAATAAAATATAACACAGAGATTATATTTTATTCGGTACACAGTGATCGCTAACAGTAATTAAAATTAACGTTGACAATGATTACATCATACGGCAGACGCGGTGATAAGAGCGAGCAGAATAAGGATGACAATTGGAAATGGTATTAATTCAAATCATTTCTTTCCGCGTCGGTTCTGGGGTCCCAATTTGGGGACTGGGAGGGAGGGTGGTTCACTGCCCTATCTCTCCCTAGCAAGCATGTCGTAAAAGGTGACTATAAAGGGTTGTTTCTTTAGAAGTTGGAGTACATCAGCATGAGAGTCCGAGTACAAACAATCTGACACAAAAAGGCCACATCTGTAAAATGAATGTGCAATACAAAACTCTAGTTATGTAACAAGACCAAAGTCCAGAAGTGGACGAACAATCAGAACTTCTTTCTCAAAACAAAAGTTTACCGCTAGTGAAAGCTAAGAAGAAGAATAAACGGTCTGCAGCCTATGACAGGTGCTCACAGAGTTTTAAATTAAATTGCAGGCAGACTTCGTTAGCACCTCCTTGCTATACTCGCCCCAGCAACTGTTCGGCTCAGTTCCCTCAGAAGGTCATTACATAATCACTTTCAGTCACTACCTTCACTTGACCTCCCATCACATCAGCGTCTACCAGAGGTACCTAAGAGCAATGCGTGATGAGATCATCAAGCTGTTGAAGCGAAATCCACATGTTCTGATACTGTTCAGGGTAAGTTGTTTTCTTCAGTGCGTTTTTTCCCAGTAAATTATAAGTGTAATCCACAAACTGCGTTCTTAACTTCTTGAGTACCAGAAGGTTTAACTGGAGATTTCCATATGTATAAAAAACGCAACAGAAAAAACCACGAGTGTATTGCTTTCAAAGATTCTAAACACTGGGAAATCCAGATGTCTTAGTATACTGGGACCAACTACGAGAAGGACTAGAACATTTTACATTTTATGTAGGATTCACTGAAGTACTAATCACACATCACACGTTGTTTGGGTTTGAAAGAGTTATAGAAATTAATGGTGACTTTAAAATGACTGTTTGTCGGTTAGGTTAATAGCAGACCAGATAACGCGGCTTTTGGAACATGGGGAGAGCCAAAGGTATTAGTCCACTTTATTTCTAGATTGTATTCCACATTGTACTTCCTCTTAGAGCGGTCGAAATGTGTACACAAGTACGTGTATGTTTCTGTGGCTCTGATTTTCAAATTATCGATTTGTTTGTGCCCGGAGTGCTTATCTTTTCTGTATCTTGTTATCACCATCTATACAGTCTGCAGTCAATCAATTTAATCAGGTGCCGTCTCCACAGTGAAGGCTGGCTGCAATGGATCTCTAATACACTCAATCTCCTATCCTGATTGCATACTCTCTCAGACTGCTGTTCGTTCATCTCTTAATGTTGTCCTTCCACTTGTAACAATGTCCACCTCTTGTTGTCTTGCTCTTGACTTTTACATCCAGTATAGTTTTTAGAAGCAAGTTAAGTCTTTAAATGTGGCCAAAGTATTTCAGTTTTCTCTTGATTTCTCTCAGTAATTCACGTTTTAATTTGAAGGTGTTCCAGAACCTGTGTATAGGACATCTTGTTTCTATGAAATACAGCCTATTTTTCTATGTATCCTCATTTTCAGAAACTCGGTTCAGTTTTCTAGATGCCTTTTCATTGTCCTCGTTTCCGCACCATACAGCAGCATTAAATCTAATAACATTATGTTCATTATCTCTCTTTGGCTGTCATTAATTTGCGCATTTTATTCAACATAGTTTTTGCCATTCCTATTTTCTTTTTTTTTTTTTTTTTTTTTTTTTTTTTTTTTTACATCTGCCATCATCAGTTACAGAGTGTCCAAGATAAAAGATACTTGTCACTTGTTCTAATATCTCTCCTTTTATTGTGATGTTTATTGTTTTTGGCTCTTTTCCTTCGCTAATTGCCACCGTTTTTGTTTTTTTAATTATTAATGTCTAAACCATACTCTGCACTTCGCATGCTGACTTGATCCACTAGGTCTCGTAACTATAAACAGAATACATCTCAAAGCAGGCTGCTTCTGGATGGCCAAGGCCAAACGTATAATACAGCAAGTATGTGACCTAGACGAGATCAGTCACATAGAGGAATCGACAGATACCCCAATAGGCAAGCATGTGATGCTTGTGGTTGTCAGAAAGCTAAGGGAGGTACTGAAGGAAGCTGATTCCTGCTACAGTAGTCATGGAGATAAGCACTGATGTATCAGTATTTACGTACAGAAAACATCATCATCTTCAGAGAATGGTCTGTGAGGCGTGGGTCACGGTTAGCATTTGTGTACGCAGGGCAAATAATTGGGGAGAATAAGGGGATAATGACGTTTAATAGACTATTACATGCAGTATAACACAAAGATAACCGCTCCATCGAGAGCACTCGCATGGTCAGTAGAACACGCAGAAATATATTCAGTAATCAATTGTGTCAGACTTCACAAGCAAGTTTTAAAAAGTCGCAACAAGTAATCTACGCCTCGATTGGGTAGTTTTGTCTTCGAGGTAAAAATAGGAGACATTATAATTAGCTTCTCATGGGAACAATCATTACAGGTACCCTGGAGTGGCTGCTGCAGTGGAAAACTGATTAGGCAAGAGGCCGCGTTAGCGCAGTTGATAAGAGACCCGCTTTCAAATCCAGCAAGCCACTCGCTGCAGCTCACGGCTGGTGTTCGAAACAGGGCGGTTCTAAGGGGTTCACCCAGCTTCTAAGTAATGGATACCAGAGGTAACACTCTGAGGTAAATGGAGGAACGTCGCTGTATCTACGGAGTATCGTGCGGACGGCGACACAGGCGGACAGTTTTTTATAAGCTGTCCGTACTAGTGGCAGAGCACTTATGGTTTAGTACCGTTTGCAATGACACCGGTTCACATCTCCCAACTTTATAATTTTATATTTTTTTAACTGAGCACGCAGGAGAATGTCGAATGTTAATTGACCGTGACTGTGAAAACATAAAAGAAATTACACAGTAAAGTATATTTCCTGAAATGTTGCAATACCTGTCTTTCTCAGGGGCCACATGTTGCCGAGCGAGAGCCCTATGTGTATTACTGCGGCGATGTCTGGGCTCGGTATATCATCACAATACAGAAGGAGACGTTCAAGGATCTACGAGACCGTGTTATCTACTTCCCAACATGGGACATAACTGTGGCTTCAGAAGATACTGATGTTCACCCTACGTGCAATAATCATTTATTTGACTTGATGTTTCATTATCTTTGCGGCAGGGATCAATCGGCTTGAATCATTAATGCATATATATATATATATATATATATATATATATATATATATATATATATATATATATATATATATATATATAAGTAAAGTAAAGGACCTTTTTCCACTCCTTTCAGGCGTATTGGGTATATAGGGCTAGACCTATATTTTATAGACCAAACGGCACTTGGTGGGTGATGTGGTCAGCATCATACTGGTCGCCTTCGCTTCCCAGGACTGCACCTTGTCCCCACTCTGGGCTGGGTCGTCCTGGGAGCTAAGGTCAAATTTTTGGAAAAAGTCTGACCTGCGTCAGGAAAAGAATCTACGACCTCCCGATCCACATGCGAGCGTCTAGCCGCCTGACCACGGCGGCTCGCACTGCATATATATATATATATATATATATATATATATATATATATATATATATATATATATATATATATATAATACTGTAATCATCTGTGAAATATTGCTTTGTGAAGATGTTAAGCAACATTATAAACTATTCGTCTGCGGAGACACTTAATACATTTACTTATGTCGTTCTTCTTGTTTGTCTCCTTGGTTTTCTTGTGTTTTTTTTTTTTTTTCATGGTCTTCTTTGTATTCGCGTTAGCGAAGTCGATAAGAGGCCCGCTTTCAAATCCAGCTGCGACTCGCTGAAGCCACTGTCGGTGTTCGAAACCGAGCGGCTCCCGGTGTTCACCCAGCCTCTAGGAAATGGGTACCAGAGTTGACACTCTGGGGTAAATGGAGGAACGTCGCTGTAGCTACAGCGTTACGTGCGAACGGCGACACAGGAGAACAGTTCTTATCAGCTGTCCGTACTGATGGCAGAGCACTTATGGTTCATAACCGTGTGCAATGACACTGGTTCGCATCTCCCGACTTTATCTTTACCTTTACGTATTCTTCTTATTTTTGTTCTTTTTATTTTTGTTCTTGCTGTTGACGTTTTCTTTCTTTCTTTTCAATACCATTTTGTCTTTTTTTCCTCTTCTTCCTCGTCTCCTTTCTTCTCATTCTCCTTCTCCTCTCTCTCTCTCTCTCTCTCTCTCTCTCTCTCTCTCTCTCTCTTTATCTCTCTCTCTCTCTCTCTCTCTCTCTCTCTCTCTCTCTCTCTCTCTTTCTCCTTCTAGTTCTACATTTCTTTTTCCTTCCGCTCTTTCTCCTTCTGTGCAATCGGAAAAACTCTATGTGCAATTTGAGGAATTGGCGATTGGGCTACTGTAGAAGCCCTAAAACGGACCCAATCATTCTAGATGTAAACTGCTGGGTTCACGCACGAATGGAAAATTACATCAAATTTACACGTTAATAAATATTCGAGGAAATTCATGGTGATGACGAATAGAACATGAGGCCACAAACACAAGTCGCTGGAAGTCGTTGGAGAGAAGAAGCGCGCCAAAGCCATAGCAATACACACACACACGTGCGCACACACACATACACACACACACTCAAAGACACACAATCACACACTCACACACACACAGACAGACACAGACACACACAGACATACACACACACAGACACACACAGAGAGACAGACAGACAGACAGACAGACAGACAGACAGACAGACAGACAGACAGACAGACAGACAGACAGACAGACAGACAGACAGACAGACAGACAGACAGACAGACAGACAGACAGACAGACAGACAGACAGACAGACAGACAGACAGACAGACAGACAGACAGACAGACAGACAGGAAGGCAGGCTGACAGACAGACAGACAGACAGACAGACAGACAGACAGATAGACAGACAGACAGACAGGACAGGACAGGACAGGACAGGACAGGACAGGACAGGACAGGACAGGACAGGACAGGACAGGACAGACAGACAGACAGACAGACAGACAGACAGACAGACAGGACAGGACAGGACAGGACAGGACAGGACAGGACAGGACAGGACAGGACAGGATAGACAGACAGACAGACAGACAGACAGACAGACAGACAGACAGACAGACAGACAGACAGACAGACAGACAGACAGACAGACAGACAGACAGACAGACAGACAGACAGACAGACAGACAGACAGACAGACAGACAGACAGACAGACAGACAGACAGACAGACAGACAGACAGACAGACAGACAGACAGACAGACAGACAGACAGACAGACAGACAGACAGACAGACAGACAGACAGACAGACAGACAGACAGACAGACAGACAGACAGACAGACAGACATGTGCGTGTGTGTTCGCAGCATATGTATGTGTATTGAAAACAACCTGACGCAAATAACAAACGTTAAATACACCAAGAAGCATCTACATACATGCTTATTGGTAGTGAGTAGTACAATTTATTACAATAATTCTTTTCATTGAGGAAAATCTTTCAATTAATGCTCCTGGATAAATGATATTTGTTAAACAGATAGAAAAATACAATGTTACAATTTGCTTTTCTTTTTATGATGACTAAACGAAGTTAATGATTTCTATTTCTCACATTCAAGGCAACGATTTTATTTTCAGTTAATTCTTACATTCAGATGCTATTTATCAAACAAATAGAAAAAACATCATGTAACAATAAGCAATACATTTATTGATTATTCATTGTAAATGTTAAGATCATCTTTATGGCACATGAGACGTGACTATAAGTCTCTTATCTCCTCCTGAGTATGTGTTTTTGGGCTAACAACTCCCAATCTGTTCTGGCTAATGTTCTTTTTGGTCTTGTTGCTCCAGTTGGTACACCCATTGTATGCAGTCTATATTCAGTAAAATATTTTTTTTAATATATAAAATATAAATATATAGATTAAAATATACTAAAAAAAATTTTTTTTTGAACGAAACTGAAAGCGTCACAAAACGTTGCTCTCTTCACGGCACGCATAGAAGTGTTACTTTCTAATGCCAATTTCCCTGTTTCTAAATTTAATTTTAAAAAAAAAAACTGATGTCTTTGAAATATAATAATAATTGTTTCCTCATAATGAAAGATTACTGGTCTCTGCCACACATAAAATGCAACATTAAGTCAAATAAATGATTATTGCACGTAGGATGAACATCAGTATCTTCAGACGCCACAGTTATGTCCCATGTTGGGAAGTAGATAATACGATCTTGTAGATCCCTGAACGTCTCCTTCTGTATTGAGGTGATATACTGACCCCATACATCGCCAACGTAATAGACATAGGGCTCTCGCTCGCCAACATTTGGTCCCTGAGAAAGATAATCATTGCAACATTGTTGTCAGTACATTGTATGTTATTTGATTATAAATAAGACACGAAAAAGGACCATGTGAAACATATTTGTCACGCAGCATAGGACCGCAAGTTACATCCAGTTTCTCTAACCGGGTATCTGGCATCTACTTTGGTGATCTGCCCTCCAAACTGAGGTGTTTAAATCTTAGAATGGTATGGTACGTTTTTGGTAGCAGCCTGGTCTTGCAGGGGTACGTGTCTGACGATGTGTATGGTTCCTGATCAATAGTTTAACATCCCTAACCCAGTCAGTTTTAGTCTTTGCTTTAGTCTTGGTTTAGAAGCTCGTGGACCGAAACATTTGTCGACGAGAGGTTACTTCTACAGATGATTGGTAAACCCCTGCTGTACATGCTCCCGTGTGGAGTTTCTTCTTATAATTATTGGTCAAGGTTTCAGCTTCACTGCAATCGGGTTTTCCCCATTCTTGCTCCGTTCCTGTGCCAGTGTAAATCAAATGAATTGTCCCTCACTGTCCCAACTGACAAACTGGTGAACAAACAATTAGTCCCCTAACAATCCGGAAATATACACATGCAGTTAATGCATTCTTTAGTTTCTAGAGGAGTCAAAGCCAACAGTCGTCACCAGAAATACAGTTTATCGTTGGCAAAAGTAGTCGAGCACGATAAGTTAGCTATAGACGGGAAGAATTATTACAAAAGGTATTTCACCAGCTCACACGTAAAGCGGCTACCATACATGTTGAATACCACAATAAAACCGCTGCACAAACGACAGGTATATCCCAGGAAAAACACAGCTCACAGGGCTGCACCAAGCACTAAACTCGGTAGCTCAGGCACCGAAACTGTAGACTACCGTCCACATGTGGAAACTGCATTAGTAAAGCGCTGTCGGAAGCAAAAATAACTTTGAAGCTTAACTGTTAAGTGTGCAGATTACCCCTAACCATCCGGTGCCCCAATAAAACATGCTCATACAGTTTAACGGAACTTCTGGTAGTCATACTTGAGTGTTCCCTTCCGAATAGCAATTTCTTGAGTCAGCTAGTGTTATTCGCCCAGTATGCAGCTCTAGAAGGTTCAATTTCAATCACTCACTCATTCTTTGGTATATATGTATGTGTATATATATATATATATATATATATATATATATATATATATATATATATATACACATACATATATACCAAAGAAGGAGTGAGTGATTGAAATTGAATATATATATATATCAGTGTATAGCCAAAAAGTTGCCTTCATCAGCGATCAGTTTTGTGTGGGCATCTATTCCAGCATATTTGTTAGTTAGTTTAGTTGGCTGGTTAGTTAGTTAGTTAGTTAGTTAGTTAGTTAGTTAGTTAGTTAGTTAGTTAGCTAGCTAGCTAGTTAGTTAGTTAGTTAGTTAGTTAGTTAGTTAGTTAGTTAGTTAGTTAGTTAGTTAGTTAGTTAGTTAGTTAGTTAGTTAGTTAGTTAGTTAGTTAGTTAGTTAGTTAGCTAGCTAGCTAGTTAGTTAGTTAGTTAGTTAGTTAGTTAGTTAGTTAGTTAGTTAGTTAGTTAGTTAGTTAGTTAGTTAGTTAGTTAGTTAGTTAGTTAGTTAGTTAGTTAGTTAGTTAGCTAGTTAGTTAGTTAGTTAGTTAGTTAGTTAGTTAGTTAGTTAGTTAGTTAGTTAGTTAGTTAGTTAGTTAGTTAGTTAGTTAGTTAGTTAGTTAGTTAGTTAGTTAGTTAGTTAGTTAGTTAGTTAGTTTAGTTAGTTAGTTAGTTAGTTAGTTAGTTAGTTAGTTAGTTAGTTAGTTAGTTAGTTAGTTAGTTAGTTAGTTAGTTAGTTAGTTAGTTAGTTAGTTAGTTAGTTAGTTAGTTAGTTAGTTAGTTAGTTAGTTAGTTAGTTAGTTATTTAGTTTAGTTAGTTTGTCATTCCGCCGTCAGACTCACAGGTTTCCATTACTAGCCATGTAATTTAAGTGCTATAAAAACGCCATCTCTGAGACACATCTTACCCTTAAAAGTATTTGACCATGTGGATTTCGCTCCAACAACCTGACGACTTCATCACGTACTGCCCTTAGAGTCCTCTCATAAACGCTGAGGTGATGGGCGGAGAAGTGAAGGTAGTGGTTAAAGCTGATGATGTAACGACCGTCCGATGGAATTGAGCGGAATACTTTCTGAGGTGAGTACAGACCAGAACTCTTGAAGAAACTTCCCTGCAGAAAATCAGCTAAATTGTGTCTCAACGCTAAACAGCATTAACAGTTAATGCATACACACTAGCAAGCATATCGCAGTCAGATTCCAGAGATCCCCATGCGGGTTCTTGGGCCCTATTATACGGGCAGGGGGGAGGGGAAGACCAGACCCACTGCTTACCTTAAAGCATGTCCCTAGTGTCGACTAATTGGGGGCTTTCTTCGAAGTCGTAGTGCATCTGCATGAGAGGCAAGGAACCAGCAGTCTGCATACAGATGAGTCAGATCTGTAAAACAAATGCACACGCAACACCCAGGTTTTGGAACAGGAATGCAGTCCAAAAGTGGATAAACAACCAGAACTGTTATGCCAGAGTTTACAGCTGGTAAAGGCTAAGAAGAAAAAGAAGAAGTTTTAAGAGCAAGCTTCCTTACAGTAGATTCGTGGACTATCTAGTCATTTTAAAAGAAACAAAACAGAAGAGAAATGATCTGAAATGCTCTATAAAGATTCTTTTAATACTTTGGACCAAAGAAAATAAATTGTTGACACCCTAAAGACCTTAACAGCAAAGAAGATTGTCATGTAAACAGTATTTTGTCTCGTAACTTTGAATATTTTCACAACGTCCACGGTTAGTTGAAAGGGACGTTAGCGAAGGGCATGGTATCATTAAAAGTAGTAAATAACCCGACCAAGCCAAGATAGGCACATTTTTTAAAAATTTATTACATTTAATTTTCCTCGGGCAAGCTTCACTAGGAAGGTCACAGATAGTGAGCATACTTTGGATCTTGTTTCCTGGCAATGCCGGCGTATTGGGTAATAAACAGGCAGACAGATTGGCTGGATCTGCACCACTGGGTGGTGAATTGTGACATGACAAGGCAGATGTAGTCAAGGCTGTTTAAGAACAAACAACAGATTCAGTAAAGAAACAAGATTATTATAGCCCGGAGACAATGAGTCACCTATGTGTAACCAGAGGGTCTGGCCGGCTCACTACACTCAGAGGAAAGGCAAGACAGACATTTAACCAGATTGTGACCGGTACCATCAGTATTGGAAGTCTACGCTGGCTGCTGAAGATGAGGATGGAGCACGCATGGGAAGGCCTGGAGTGTTGTGATGTATATTCCTGACTCAACTCAACTCAATGTCCTCGGGCATTTGTTTTTGAATGTATTTAACTTTTTAGTTCTATGTCTTCAGGGGTTCCCAAACTTTCACAAGCTTAAATTGAAATGACCTCATAACTGAAAATACTTTATTTCGGTTACATACTTCTAACAGTTATAACTGCTGACTTCAAAACCACACTCGTCTTCTTTTCTTTTCTTTTTTTCTTTTTTTATGTGTTTAATCTGGATCATCCGTATTCCATCTGACTTTATAACTGGTCAGTCACTAATATCAACCTAATAAATATTTGTTTATCCTAATTAAAACACTCAATTTATTTTTCTTTCTCCTTCACTAAGGGGTTAAGCCTTTAGCGTCGAGTTCTAAATGTCAAAATTCAATGGATTCGCAAGTGGATTTTTACGAATGTCGCATAGAATCATCGCTGGAATATTGAGGTTCGTGGCTTGGGCGATTGTTCTGTTACATACATGCCTCGAGCACGCGAGCTCTGATAAATACACACACCTTAGATGTACCCGCAAACATAACAAATCTCTTCTTTGACATAATACGAAGTAGTAGTGAGTCACATTTCATAAGGATATCCTGAAAAGAGGTCGTCTTTCACGTAAATAAATAAAAAGAAAATGCAAGAATCTGGTACAGACGGAAGAAGGAATCAATCAATCAATCAAGAATTGGCATTACTACACTCGGGATATTGACATAAACGCTCCGTTCCCGTCTTCAGCAACCAACGAAGGGTTGACACGCTAAAGGTACCAGCTGCGACCGGATTAAAAGTCCGTCTCTGTTTCTCCTTCAGGGTTGAATATCTCCAAGAACCTCAGCTCAACCCCCATTAAATTAGTCTTCCAGTGTATGGATTCCCTACATGTTCTTTTGCACGTTTGCAAACTGAACAGAACGAGAATTGTTGATGGAAATAAAATCAGAGACAAATAACATATTTCAGCCACATTCAAAAACACAACATGCTTTTGACAAGACTGCTCGAGTCTTTAGAATTCACGGTGGCAGCTGTCCAGCCCGCTCTTAAGAAATGGAAAGTCCTAGATGCGATATAATCTGCTGAAGAAGTACGAAACTGAAAGAAGTCATGGGTTACACAGAAACCAACTGACGCGGCCTAGGGCATGGGAAAGTCAGTTGGTGGTCCTAAGCCACGGCCGAAAAGCGTAGAGACATGGTAAGACCGCAGATAAGGGACATCGAAAACGAGACTCGGGTCTAAAAGCCGCGCAGCAGTCGCAGCATGTCATATGGATCGGCCTCTAGGAAGGACGCCTTGCCACAAATACGTAGGTTGAGATCTGGCGAATGGCCCTGCTGCGGCTGATCTTTGTCGCAAGATCTGCACACGATGTGTTACCGTCTGGCGTCGGCATGGTGAAATGGGCATTTGACTACCGACCCTACATGCCCACGGTCCAGAGCTAAGCAGACGCTCGAGCACGTATTGTCTACATGCAGAAAAGTCATATACAAGGGACGATATACTTGGCGTCACAAAAAACTACTGAAAGACCTAACGGACATTTTGGACCAAGCCAAGATTGAGGCCAAAGCAAGGGTCAGTCCTACCGTCACCCCCATGCGCTTCCTCCAGGCTGCGCAGATTTATAAGGGTAAAGTCAATAAGATCGCATAAGCTCTATCAATACTTGTCTGTGCGAGGGGCTGGTTACGGGCTGTCGACCTGCCTGGTTTCGAAAGGTAACCAGAATCAATCCGGAAGATCGTCGTAAGGCCCGATATAGTCCTGCACTCTGCAGAAAAGCGCCAGCTCGTCCTACTAGAGCTGACGGTGCCGTACGAGTAGCGAATGGTGGAAAATCACATGCACAAGCTCGAAAAGTACAGGCAGCTCGTGGCCGGTCTGAAGAGAGACGAAGCGCACGCAGTAAAATCTTTGCCGTCAAAGTAGGCGCACGAGTTATTATCTCCACTTCTACTTGCAATGTTCTAAAGCAGCAGGTCGTGTGAGGCAACGAGAGTAAACAGTCTCTAAAACAACTGGGCGAAGCTGCTGAAAGAGCTTCAAGCTGGCTTTGGACGCAACGCACCGTCGTGGGGGATGGGCCTCAGTAGATTGATATGAGCCTTTAGTGAAGCTTCTTATCGCTTAAAAATAGCTGAGCTAGGATTGACACTGCGTTAAACGGTAGAGTTGGCCGAGAATACATGTTGTGATGTGCATCAGAAACGAGGAACTAGTTTGAATGGAACGTCTTGATTGCAAGGTAACTGAACTGTTATTAGCGTGGTAGATCTGAAGTGGTAGCAGTCGTGGCATATACCATAGAAGAACGAGTGTTGACCAAGGACAGCGACGAACCGACACGTCTGTTGGAACAGCAATAAACAGTTAATCGTTTGACTCGCATTATGTAATTGCTGTAACTTAGCCAGATGGGCGGTGGGAGAACTAAGGTCGCTCTTGGTCAAGAATTGAACCAAGGAGCCACACTACACATGGCTAACCTAGATAGGATCGACGTTTCCTTCGAAGCTGGAGTGTATCACCTGCGAGGCGAGGAACAAACTTTATGCACACAAAGTCAGATTTGTAAAACGGATGTGCACGCAACATTTAATTCATGGAACAAGGCTAACGTCCGCAGTTGGAAAAACAACCAGAACTGTCCGCAGAAATTTACATCTAGTGAACGCTAAGAAGAGGAGAAAAGGTGGAGACAGCACCTGATTTGACTGGCTGATTTTTGTTTAGCAAAAGAAGAGGCAGAGACAGCACCTCATTGACTGGCTGATTTTTGTTAATGGGAAGAAGTGGATACAGCATCTGATTGACTGGACTATTTTTTTTTTTTTTAATGGGAAGAAGTAGAGACAGCACCTGATTGACTGGCTTATGTTTGTTTTGTTTTTTAAGAGAAGAAGAGGTTGAGAAAGCTCTTTATTGACTAGACGACATTTTTTTAGAAGAAGTGGAGACAGAACCTGACTCTATGATTTTTTTTTTTTTTTTTAAATTTAAGATACTCACCCAGGCAATGTTGTATGGGCTTGTGTGAACCGCTTGGTACAGTGCAATATTATTTGTCTTGTTGTGGCATTGTTTTTGTTCTGGTTGTTCAACTTCACTACACTGGATCTTTGACCTAACTCTTTTGTAGAACATTCTGGAATTGGAGTCACCGTAGAAAAACATCTGGCAAAAGAAATAATTCATGATGTTTATCAGACAAAAGTCCAGTATCTATATATTATCGCATGTACTATATGATATTATGGTTTTTGTTTTAAATGTGTTCATAAATTGCTTCATAAATTTACCCGGCACTCACCGGAATGAATGACTAAGACTCAGATAAACCACCTCTGTATAAATAACAAATATAAGATGATCTCTGATGGATGTCCCAGCATACAGAGAAGTAGATGCGGGCAGTAAAAATATCCTATGCACAGGGAAAATGAAACTTTCAAAACAGCTGCCAGAAACTATGTGCAACAAAGAATAGATAGTTAAAGACTTTGCACTGTAAAAGTAACAGAAGAGTTCCAACCTGAGCTGAAAAACAGATTTGAAGCATTTGAACTATAGTTCGTTCAACTTCTAATGAACACACTTCCAAGCTATTTTCTGGAAAAGTGGCTGTTAGACCGCAACGATTTTTTGCATTAAAATAGGAGGCGAGGAAGCCCAAGAGAAAACGCAAGACGAACGCTAATGAGAGAGGCCAGAGCTGCTAGACTAGATTCTATCCATGATATTGAACTGATTGCACAGGACAGAGCGGAATGGAGGCAGAGACTGCAAGTCCTGTGTAACATACAATGGTATAAATTGATAATAAATGAATTGGTAAATTTGTTTTCTTTTAGTCACATCCAGTTTTCGTCCTTT